CTCCAGGGTCAGTTGTTGAAGCTGTACAGACAAGCTCTCAGGATTGCGAGGAGATCTCCAAATGGTTCTAGTGGTGAGGCATCTATCTGAAAAAGAAAATTATTTCAAAACTTGCTTATTTACTTAATTTTAAGTTTTTCAACATTAGCCAAACATGCATTTATTAGTTATGGTATCTTCTGTTGATCAAAATGGAGATGATGCTTCTGTCTTTCCTGAAGAAATTGGAGCGGTGGAGGAAATCAACGTACCTTCTGTGGCTGAAGAGGATGCAAAACTTGGATACTTGAGCGTCCAGACTGAGATCACGAGAGACAACGTACAAAGTGTTCAATCAGATGAACTTGGTTCGGATGCTTTGGATATGGATTGGGAGGCAGGGGAATACTCTGCTTTCTATCTTGATGATGATGATCGTGATTATTCACTAAAAGGCAGAAAAGAACGTGACTGGAAAGGAGTTGATTCATCTGAAGTTGATAGCTGCATCATTCGTGAAGAAGCAATTTTCAATCTAGATGAAAATGTTAGCAACTACTTTGATGAAATTCCGGCAGATGAAGAAAGCTGTAGCTCTGAATCGACAGGTTCATATGAATACCTGGATAACTTCAACATTGAGACTACTTCTTTTCTTTTTGAGGATCAAATGGGAAATCTGGAGGCAGCAAAAGAAGATAAGAATGATATCATGTTTTCGGACCAGGATAGTGATGAAGAGAAACAGAACATCATGATGTTACAAGATGGAACTTCAATTCATGAAGATGATGAGGGTTCTGATGTCCCTGAATAGTGTCGCACAGGAAATCTGAAAGAGAAGTACGAGCACGATGTTGGCAGCCTTGGTATTATAGAAGAGTACCAATCTGATACTGCTAACGTATATCCACTCAACAGCGAGGCATTCAATGGAGGCGTTCTTCCTATTTGTGAAGATCCAGACACAGATCAATACTGTAATATTCAGGCAGAAATTTCATGCTCTGATAACGGCGATAGAGTAGATGTGAAAGACCAATCTGATGCTGCAAAGTTGACTGGGATAAAAGCATCTGATGAGGAATCTCAGACGATAAATGTGGAATATCAGGGCATCTTGAAGTGAGCTATCCGATTTCCTATTTGTAGTACTCTAATGAAAATTAAGTCGCTTATATTTTTGAAAAGTATTGAGATGAATTTTACACTGATATATTATATTAAACTGTACTCAATATTTATGTTTATCGAAACTATGGAATACCTCGGTCATATATATGAAATTTTGTTTTGTAATTATTATAGGTATGCTGGTAATCAAATAAATGAACAAATTTTTAAAAATGAAATTAAAGTTTACGGCGTGCAAAATCCTGCCGTAAAAAGTTAATTTTGGCATTCAAATGCATGCCGTAATAAATGTTCACTTTTTATGGCGTGCAAATGAATGCCGTAAAAAGCTTAAATAATGGCATCTCTGAGTGCATGCCGTAAAAGTGATACACTTTTTAAGGCATGCAATTGAACGCCGTGAAATTAATAACTGCGTTCGCAGATGGCTTTGCACATCGTAAAAATGCCTTAAAAAGTGAACATTTTTTTAAGGCATTGCTTTCTACGGCTTGTGGCCGCACGCTGTAAAAAGTACATTTTGTTGTAGTGTATAATCAAGAACACAAGAATTACCTAAAAAATAATAAGTATTGAATTAAAAACTACAAACTAATGGTTCATCATCTATCCAATACATAAAAGGTTTAGTCTAATATTGCCATATGAAAATTACACATAAGAAAGAGGAACAACATCACCCGAGAATAAGATACTTGAGAAGAACGTGAATTCCACTGGATGTCTATTCCAATATATAGGGTGTAAAAAGATTGTATTCCATAGCTACCAAAACAAATTAAGGAAAAAATCAAAAAATTTCCTTCTTGAACTAAGGCGAGTGCCCAGGTTGGAAAAAACCAAAATTTCCCTTTTTGAACTAAGGCACGCATCGGGATGATTTGGGTAGCCTTAGGCGCCTCAAAATAGGCTAGGCCAAAGACCTCTCCTACATGCGAGGTGGTGCGCCTTGGTTTATGTGCTGAACAATTATCAGTATTTTTATCATAACTTTCTCTCTTAATATCCAATTGTCATGAGTGCATTGAAAAGATAACTGAAAGAACTACAATGTTTCTAGAAATATTATTTTTTCCAATTTGAAGGTTTACTATACAAAAATTGGTTATTAATTCGAGGGTGAAAATCCAGAGCATTACTTTTTTCAGTTGAAAATTGATGTGTCACAATACTTTGACTATATTTCATCATTTTGACTTCTTTTCTCATTCAATTGACCCATAAAACCCTTGAATCTTCATCGTGAGGTCCGATACAACTTTTGAGCATTTGCACTAGTCTTTGAACTTTGAATCTCTTACAATTGAGCTTTTTTCACACTTTTTCTTCATTTATATTGATTTGTACCCAACAAATGCAATACACAAGAATTAAGCCATAATTCATCAAAATAACCAATAAATACTGTAGCTCAAATGTCCAAATATGTTTACAAAATACACTTATCAAGCCCTTAATTTTGAATACTTGTTTGTCCTTAAACAAAATACCGACTAACTTTAAACGTAATGGGCTAGATACACCATACCAAAAATGGCCTTTTGCAACATACAAAGGGCAACATTCGTTGATTAAATGTTGCTAAAGGGGTATATTGCAACATTTTAGCAAGTGAATGTTGCTATTGGCTAACGTAATGAGCTTTCAAAACATTTTTTAAATAGATGTTTCTAATGTCGCATTTTGCAACGTTTTATAGATGTTGCGAAAAGTTTAAGTTTTTACAACTTTTTTTAACGTTGTTGAAATCTGGTTCTATAGCAACGTTCAAGGTTTGTTGTTGAAACTCTCGATATAAAGCCTTTTTTGGAACAACGTTGCGAAAATTTCACTTTTGGCAACGTTTTTTGAACATTACGAAAAAATTACTTTTTGCAACGTTTTTTAATTGTTGCGAAAAATTTTGTACTTTTTTCATAAGTTAAAGTATACACAGGCTCAAATGATAGAAACTAAAAAGTGGTAATTACATCAAACCCTACTTTTCAAGATTCAAATTCATAAATTAGATTTCAAGTTTTAATTTTCAAAAATAAGATATTTTATATATAGATACAGTTTTTATATTTAATTAAATATTAATAATAAATTATAAAAATTAATATATACACACACCCCACCCTTCCCCTAAATTCACGTGTCTCACCTTTCTCTCGCTCTCTCCGTCTCTCAGTCTTCTCCTCTCCCTCACCGCCACCACTGCATCACCACCATGCCCATCGAAATCGTGTCTTCTCATTCACTCTCCCCTCAGCCTAAATCCTCAGCCACGGTCTCTGCTACTATGAAGTGAAACAACCACCGCCAGACTGTTGAGAAGACGCCACACCACCGCGCTCAAATTCTATTATGTGACCCACGTCGTGCTTCTCTCTGTGTGTGATTTGGAACGGGTCTATGTGGTTTTGATTAATTTGTGACTCTACTTCATCCTGCGCTCCTCGTCTTCGGCTAGTTCTATCGCTACAAATCTGGACCTGGTGCCTGATTCTCGTGAATGTTCGGGTCACAGGTTCGGATCCTGGAATTTGAAGCAGCATGTTTGGTAAAAGTGGTATTTGAAGCAGCATGTTCGGTAAAACTGGAGGTCCGAATCGCTTTCATCCTTGTCTCTTGCCCTACAGTTTGTCTATATTGGTTCATTTTATTGTTTCTAGAAATCGATTTTAGAGTATGATGAACGACTTGTATATAGAAATTGAATTGATTGATGAAAATAAGGTGGGTGGTGGTGGAGGCGCCATTGGTGTTGATGGTGGGTTTTATTGGTTGTTGGAGTGGTTTTTATTTAGGCTGTTTTTATTGGTG